CTGAGGGCCGACTCTCTGCTAGGCATCATTCCAGAAACAAGACAAACAAAAGGAGCTGACAGTCTAGAAAGAGGAGGCAGACAATAAACAAAACAGTAGGCAGTTACAGAGAACATTCAAAGGTGATGAATGCTCTGGAGAAAAATACAGTGGGTAAGGATAGGAATTACCAGTACCAAGGTGGGGTGAGGACTGCAGCTTCAAATCAGGTGGTGAAATTGAGGAAGGTCTCACTGCGAAGGTGACCGCTGGGCAGACGTGGAGAAGGCACAGGGAGAATCCTGAGGTGGGAGCCAGCCTAGTGGATCTGAGGACCAGCCAAGAGGCCAATGGACAGGAGAGCAATAACCAAAGAGGACAGCAGAAGACGGGGTAGGCAGACTGTGTGGGGCCTTGTAGGTGCCTCTCACTATGCCAAGGAGCTGCTGGAGAATTCTGAGCTCAAGAGTAATGTGATAGGACGGAGGTTTTTACAGGCCCCTCTGACTGCCTCGCCGAGAGGGAAACAAGGAGATCAGTTAGGAGAGTGCCGGGGGAATCCAGACCAGAGGACACGGGGCTTAGCCAAGAAGGGAGGCAGATAAGCGGGGGAGAAGCGGTCTGATTCTGGGTGCTTTTTAAGTAGCCAATAGGAATGAAGGAAATGAAAGGAAGTGGAACACACAAGGATCAGAGAGGAAGACGCATCTAAGTCAGCCTGGGGAGAGCCAAGAAGGCGGGGAGCTGGAGCTGAGTCTGAAGCCGCAGGCAGGCAGCACACAAATGAGGGCAAAAGGGAGAAGAAATGCCCCCACCGCCCCACGGAGGCCCAGAGGAGGAAGCTCAGAAGCCTTCAGCAGGAAGGAGGCTCAGGAGTCAGGCAGGGCAGACTGTGGCGAGTCCTGGGCGCCAGATGAAGGAACACAGGTCCGCCTCCCTGCTTCTCAAACGGGCTGTGCCTTGTCCCCGGGGTCTGCGCCCCCACCTACGTCCTACTCATTCTTCAAGTCTCGGCCCCAGGTCAGCCTCCTGGGAAGCTCTTGCCTGCCCCACCTCCTCCGTCGGAGGGTAAAGTTCCCTCTTACCCCTCACGGCCCCTTCCACCTCCATGTGACCTGTCGTGCTAATCCTTCACGGTCCGCCCTCTAGGCTTGATCACAACCATGTTCAAGGCCAAATCCCATGGCTCAGCCCAGAGCCTGGCACGAAGCAGATGAACAATGTGGACTGAATTAAGGAGCAGGCGTACCAGTTTTCTGCTCCCAACTGCCCGCGGGCAGGAAGACGAGAAACCAGAACTGCTGGATTTTATGTTTGAAGTAAATGTTAACAGGTTCTAAAGGAAAACCTGAGGGTGGCCTGTCAGTTAAAATAGTCTCCAGAAATAAACCTTGTGAAACTTACATCGTCTGCTCTAAAAACTTCTTCCTTTTGCACACATCTCATCACTCTGGAGAAGGGAAAAGAACACGAGTCACAATATCTACACGATACCTCGGCAAAGCAAATCATCAGCACCTCCCACAGATCCTTAGGACATTCACATTTTTCCGAAACAAAAATTATGAAGAAGGCTGAGCAAAACCCAAACTGCACAACAGAGAGTCTCCTCAAAATCCAGCTTCCACACAGCAGGCTGCTTATTTACTCAGCGCCGTCTCCTGCGGTCTAACCAACTATTTGTCTCCAAAGGGCAGGCCCATGTAGGAATGCGGGGCCTGAGCAAGCAAACGGGAGCCCACAGCCTGCCAGGAAGGCCTTGGCACACTCCAGTTTGGACGGCAGCCCCCCAGGGCCTCCAGCCACTCGGCCGCAGGGACCAGCAGACCCTCCACACCTGATCAAGTCACCAATCCAACATCCAGCCTCCACCCGGCAGTTCAGTGCAGCAAACACTGGCTGAACCCCTACCAGCTTGGTAGCGAGAAATGAAACTCATGAAATATGGCCCAAAGGACAGCAGTCCCTCGGTCCAGGGTTGATGAAAGAAGGTGAATGACAGGTCAACAGGTACATAAAATACTGAGCACCTCCTGGGAGCATCAGGCCATGCCAGAGCAGCTCTGGGGCCCAGAGACATCAAAGCACAGGCCCAGGCTCAAGGCCTCGAGGCCCTCACGGCCTAGCATCTGTCCCTCATTCTTACTCAAGAGAACGCCCAGCTCTGTGTACTTACCACCATTTCCCAAGCCAGCAGTGGGGCTGACGCCATCCAGGTCCTTTGGTCGATTGGGAACGAGGCCACTAGGAGAGAACACGTGTGATAAGAGAGGAGTGAGTCAGCGTTTGAACGACAGACCATCAGGCTGCCTGGACCACACAGGACCGTCATCAGGCCCCGGCCAGCGAGGGACCCGTGGAGCTGCCTGGGAGACTCGCAGTGCAGAGGTGAGGAACTCAGGCTCAGGGCTCAGTCCTGGCTCTAACACCTAATAGCTGAGCCTGGCCAGTCACTCATTCATTCATTTACACATCAACTGTTCTGTGTGCCACAGATGTGCTAGGTGCAGAGGCCACATGTAAGCTACTGATATTCTTGAGTCTTGATACCACCCTCTACCTGTAAGGATTAAATGAGTTTGTGTATATAAACACCTAGCAGATAGTAAGCACTCAATAAATGGCATCCATGGTTGTTTTTGTCATTACTATCATTATCCTTATTAACATGACTATCACGACCCCAAATTAAGCTTCCAAGGATCAGGCACCAATTCAGATGCTTTAAGGGTATCAAACAAAAATGCAAAATTTCACTGATCCAAGAAGTTTCACTGGTCAAACTATAAAAATAGGTTCAGCGAGGATCTGGAGATACTGACAGAAAACTAAACCATAACAGAAGGTGTGGTTCAACACAAAACACATTTCCCTGGATTCTATGCTAAGCTCTGCCACACACCTCTCCCAGCCTCGCTTCCTTCACCTGTGAAAGGAGGAGAGCAGCTCCTTCATTGAGTAGCTGGTGATTAAACAAGACACCAAGGGCCCAGCAAGCACCTGGCATACTGTGAGTACCCCATAAATGGGAGCAAAATACCGCTGTCACCTGGAAACATACAATGCTCTGTAATTTATAAGAGATTGACCATCATGAGAACTGCCCGATTCCCTGTGGGTCTGTGCATTTTTTAAAGGAAGGCACTAAGGCCAGATAACTTCAGCGGCCGAGCCAGAGTCTCACAGCAGTTAAGTGGAAAACCAGGTCCAGAATCCAAGCCTTTTATGTCTGACTCCCAACGATGCTTCCCTGTCCCAAGCTGTAAACTAGAAGTCAGTGGAAGCTCAGTTTGACTTCTTGGCAATTTGCTCTTTCCACACCTCTAAATACAAATCCATCTGCTCTTCGGATAACTCTGGAGTTGGAACAGACCTTTAAGATCAGAACCGAGCAAAAACCTGGATATCATAAAATTCCATGATCAAGAAAATGATGACATAAAATGTGTCTGCTGTGGCGATAACTGAAAAAAAAAACTGTAGTAAAATATGCCCTCAATTTTGAAAAAAAAGTACATGTACAAAAAAATGTAGTGTACATGTACATTAAAGTCACCTCAAATCCTTAGAAACTAAGTGGGCCACAAATATATGTAACAAGACAAGTGAAGTATTAAAAATCGTCATTTGTAAGGAAATGAGAGATATTTTCCTCCTTTTTAATTTTCTACAATTCTCAATTTCCTCCAATAAGTATTCCTAGAAGGACAAACTCCATTTTCAAAACGGGATTTTAAAAATTAAAGTCAAGTTCAACCACCACCCTTTGCAGATGGCGGCCCAGAGGCCCAAGGTCATACACCAGATAACAGGCCAAGCCTGGCCCACAGTCTGGGCTCCACGTTCCCAAGTCTGGGGTTCTCTCCACCACAGCCATTAATCTGCCACCACTGGAGGAAATGGCCCATCGATTCCTCAAGCCAAGATCAATCACGGTTGAAAACCACGTGGCAGGCAAAGCCAAAGAATTTGGTCTTAGACAAGTTTCCAACAGGCAAACAGGTCAGTTTGAAAAATAACATTTGACATCGCAATTCTTAGAAGAAACCACTATTTAATGCCGAAATTCTGGCCTGGTTCCTGCCAAGTTTCCATCTGGGCCTTACCTGCCCAGTTTTAAAATGCCATGAATCTCTGTCATCTGCAGTTTCCAGCCAGTTCCAGCCGCACCTCCAGCTTCAAGTACTCAGCTTTCTGTGTTCCATTCTGATCACTCACTCTTAGCCCTAGAACTAAGGTTGGGGCTTTGCGGGGCCCCACTAGAAATCAAAACTATGCAAGCAAAGAAAGAGGGCGAAGATGTGATTTTAGGATGGCAAGGAGCGGGGAGACTAAGGCCCCAAAAGGGAAGGAACTTATCTGCTCAAAATCACCAGGGTTAGCAGCAAAGCTGAGACAAAGACCCAGGCTTCTCAGTGTCCATTCTGCGGCTCACCTGCGTCCCGGCCGCCCGAAGCTCCTACTGAATGGGGCACGGGGTCAGTGCCGGTTTCCTCACGTGCAAAATACAGCATAACTCCAACCACCACCCTGCAGGGGCGCCTACGCTGAGCGGACACCTCGCTCGGGGACAGGCGGCCTCCCACTTCGTCCTCACCACAGCCCTTCTGCGGTAGGAGGTAGTTTTTAACTCTTGCCATTTTTTAAAATGAGGACAACGGAGGCCCAGCAAAGTGAATAAGCTGAAAGACACAAAAAGGCCTGATTCCAAAACCCATGCATGCTCTTAACCTCTGCACCACCCTGGCACCCCTACCGCCTTCCCCCAGGTGGCGCGTGGGGAGGTCTAGGTGGACCGAGGGCCTCTGCCTTCCAGAACCTGGCACACTGCACAGTCACCATGGCTGCTGTTGACTGTCTGTTGAGGAAATGAATGAACAGTCACGTGCGCTCCACCACCTCAGCCTCCTACGCTGCTCCAGCCACCACCCGCCTGCGCCTGCATGTGGCGGCCCACAGTGGACCGTCCACACGAGGCCCAACGAGGACGGAGCGCTTCACGGCCAAAGTGTTAAGAGAGCCAGGGATGGACTGGACATCACATTTGGGAAACAACTGTACCAACTGCACTTGTCATTCTGTGTCACTTATTCTTGACGAAAGAAAACATATAAATACAAAATATATAGACAAGCTTAAAGTTCTTCTGAACTACTCCTCGCTCTCAACTTAGTCTCCTCCTACGAGGTAACCACTCTTGTCAGCAAGACATGTATCCTTCCAGACCTTTCTCTACGCATATAACTGTATACATCACTTTGCAGCATCTTTTCTTCACTTAATGTGCCCTGAAGATGTTTTCCTGACAGTACAAATAGATCTCCCTCCATGTTTTTAACTCCTACAAAGCATTCTACAGAAGGGTTTTTCCAGCTTTACTGACCCCAACCCATAGAAGGAAATATATTACCTTTCATTCTTGAAATGCCTATTATTCTGCTCTATTTTTTTTTATTCTGGTTGCAACTTACTAAATTGAATTTCATGAGTTGTCAATGGGTCTCAGTCTGAAAGACACTTGTGAAAGGATGTGTATTTACCAGGTTCCCCCGATGGTAATTCAATCTGTTTCCAAGTTGTTCCTTTTACAAACAAGGTTGTATCTCCTTCTACAGGTCTCACTGTGCACATGTATGAGGATTTCTCTACACAGATAGGTAACAAGAAGTGGAACTGCTGGGTCAAAACATAGTCCCATTTTTTTTTAATGGGCAAAGGATTTTAAATTATACAATAAGTGATAAGGACAAAACAGTCAGGGCAAAGCAGGCAGGGGAACGGGGAATTCAAAACAAAGAACTTGAAAAAACCTTGAAGACCGGTAAACCAGATGTTCTGGGGCCCTGGTTTATACTCTTCTTCTCTTTTCCTTCCCATATACAATTAAGGGATTTCTAGATATGAGTGAGCACGTGTGCTCGAGAGCGGGGACAATTTCATCCCAGGGGATGGGGAAGCACAGAGAAGCCCTTACAGCCACCTGCAGACGCAGCTCCTTCACAGTCCGGAGTGCCTGTCCCTCTGTGCTGTTTCTTTAACTACTAAAAACTGGCCGTGTGCTATGACTCCAAGTCTCCTGTGAATTCTTTCACTGAGGACTGTAGGTCATTGACCCCTTACCCACAACAATAAGCACATGAACAAATGTCCAACATCATTAGTCATTAGGGAAATGCAAATCAATACCACAGTGAGATACCATGTCACAGCCCCAAGGATGGCTATAATCAAAGACAGACAATTATAAGTGTTGACAAGGCAATGGAGAAATAAGAAGCCTCATACACTGCTGCTGAGAGTGTAAGATGGTGCAGCCACTTTGGAAAAGAGTTGCGTGGTTCCTCAAAACGTTAAACATACAGAATTACCACCTGACCCAGTAATTCTGCTCCCAGAGAAATGAAAATTTATGTCCACACAAAAACTTGTACACAGATAAATGTTTACAGCAACATTATTCTTAAGAGCCAAAAAAAAAGCAGAACAACACAAATGTCATCAACCAATGAATGAATGAACAAAATGTGGTATGTGTATACAATGGAATACCATCCAGCCACAGAAAGGAATGAAGCACTAACACATGACACAACGTGGATGAGCCTCACAAAAGACCACATAATCCCATATGAAACATCCAGAATAGGCAAGTCTATAGACAAAAAGTAGATTGTGGCTGCCTAGAGCTGGGGGAGGGGGCATGAGGAAAGGGGAGTGCTATAGACTGAATGTGTACCCCAGAAGCTCTTATGATGAAACCCTACCCCCACTCCAAGTGATGGCATTAGGAGGTGGGCCTTTGGGAGGTAATGAAGATTAGAAGAGGTCATGAGGGTGGGGCCCTCATGAACGGGATTAGAGCCCTTAAGGATTAGCAGAGATCTTGCTTCCTCTCTCTGGTCATCACCATGTGAGGATACAATGAGAAGCTGGCAGCCTGCAACCTGGAAGAGGGTCCTCACCAGAACCTGACCGCGCTGGCAACCTGATCGTGGACTTCCAGCCTCCAGAACCATGAGAAATAAATTCCTGCCATCTCTAAGTCACCCAGTCTACAGTATTTTCATTATAGCAGTCCAAGCAAAAACGGAGTGACTGCTGATGGGCACAGGGTTTCTTTTTCGGATGATGAAAATGTTCTAAAATTAGATTATAACGATGACTGCACAACTTAGTAAATACACTAAAAAAAATCACTGAATAGTAATATTTTAAATGGGTAAAATGTATGGCATATAAATCAGATTTTAGTAGAGCTGCTGAAAAAAACCACAAGGCACATTTTTAATGCCAAATTGTGTTCCAGGAAGACTATACCAGTTGACACTGTTGTGCACCTTTTCATGGTGATTATAAAGCAGCATTTCACCACTAAGTATGGAGCCCATACTTTCATGGTATTTATCTTTGCAAACAGAGATTGAATAAAATTGATTTATTCAACAAATACTTGTTGAGCCTCTACTATGCACCAAGCACGGTTCTGGGTCTAAAGATGTAGTGAGGAACAAGCCAGACGTGCTCCCTGCCCTCACTGAGCTTAAGGAGGTGACAGGGAGCACCTCCTCAAAATTGGGGTACCCCTGGTCCAAGGTCGGCCTTGGATCAAGCTTTCAAATCTTCCCCAGAAATTTCATGCCACCATTCTCTTTCTCAACCTCCTTCTACGAAATCCAAGAAGGCACTCTTTGCCTGAGAAAACACAAATTGTGGGCACACTTACAGGAAGCATTTCTTTTTGGTCTGCCCCTAACCAGACAGACAGCACTGAACGTCCAAGTGCTAGAGGAACCCATAGATGCAGAAGCCCAGGCCAGGCCTTAGGAAGGTCGCAAGGGGAGGCAGAATCCTGGGCATGAAGACAAAGGGATGAACCCAGGACTGTGGGCGAGGAGGGTTTTGTCCAGGAAACAGTACCATGTGGTAACAGTAAGACTAAAATCGCTAACGCTGAAACTGCTCCACAGTCAGTGCCAGACACTTAATACACACAGTCTTGCTTCATCCACAGTCACCCAATAAAATACATAATGTCACAGAAGAGAAACTGAGGCTCTGGAGGGCTATGTGAATTATTCAAGCAGCACAGCCAGTGACTGGCCAAAGCAGGATTTGGATGCAGGCAACCTGCAGACAAAGCCCAGGTTCTTTCAAGACCATCAGGCAGGACCTGAAGGAGGACCTTCACTCGGGCAAGGTTCCAGGGACCGGGATCTGGGCCTAAACCCCACAGGCTGGAGCTCTCGGGGCACCCCCAGGCGATCAGATTTGGAGAGAATGACACACACCAACCTAATTCAATAGAAGTCCAAGGACAAACTGGACTCCTGTTTGGTCCCTAAAATTGGGGTGTGGAAACTACCAAGCAGAAGAGCTCATACTAGCATAAAAAGAGCTTTCCTCCCAGGGGTTTTCTCTTCCACTCCGCAGCCGATGAGAAGCTGTCTCTCTCAGACATTTCTGCGACTCTTTAAGGGCCGGTTCAAATACCAGCAGCTCCGTAAAATCCTCCCAGAATCCTCTCAGAGCTGGTTCAGAGAACTAGCTGGAAGGCAGGACAGGGTACTGAGAGCCAAGCTCTGGAGTCTGTACGCCTGATTTAAATCCTCACTCGATCGTGTACTTTTTGTGGGATCCTAGACCATTCACTTCACCTCTCTGAACCTCAGTGCCCTCATCTGTAAAAGGGGGATAAAACGGTCACCTCAACTGATCACTACTGATTCAGTGATTTAACAAACAGTTACTGAGCACCTACTACGAGCCAGATACCAGGTTTGGAACTCGAGTTACAAAGATGATCAAATGCAGCCCTTGTTCTCAAACAGGTCCTAGTCTAATCTGGGAGACACACAAGTTCACAGTCGTAACTGCAGTGTCCAGCACAAGAGCCACCAGCCATGTGCGCCTGCTGAGTGCCTGAAATGTGGTGAATCCAAATGTGGTAAAACACATCCTGGACTTCAAAGATGTCTAAAGATAAAAAAGAAAGTAAAATAGCTCATGAATCTTTTTTTTTATTTGTTTCCAAGTTAGAATGGTAATATATGGAAATACAGGGTTAAATAAAACATATTGTTAAAATTAATTTTACTTGCTTCTTTATACTTTCTGAATGTGGCTATTAGAAAATTTTAAATTACCTACGTGGCTCAAATTACATTCTGATTGGACAGCACTAGTCAATAAAAGTCAGTGAAGTCAGTAAGGGCTGTGAATGGGGCAGTGGTGGTGGGGCTAGAAGAGTTCAGAGGGCCCAGGCGGGGATGGAGGAATGTCAGTGAAGGCTTCTGGGCAGTGACACCTAAATTGAGACCTGAAAAACAGTAAGGCAAAGGGGAGGAGGGAGGGCAACCCAGGCAGCCAGAACAGCAAGTGCACAGGCCCAGCAGGAAGAAAGAACAAGGCAGATCATTCAGGACAGTTTGGCAGCCAGCAGAGGGAAGGGCTTGGGGAGGAGATGGGAAGGGAGAGGGAGGACAGGAGGCTAGTGGAGTAGATGGGGCCAGGTGATAAAGGACCTCGGAAGCCACATTAAAGAATTTCATCCCAAGGGTGGTGAGGAACCAGGGAGGGTCTGAAGCACATAATAGGTTAGTTACCAGGAATGTATGCAGCATCCAGGTCCTGCAAAGGCAGAGAGAGAAGGGAAGGGAGAATATCTGATGCTCTATTGACTTGCTACCCTGAGTCAGACCCTTTTGGACTCACCCATTTTACAGATGATGAAAACTGAGGCTCACACAGGGTGAGTGACTTGCCCAAGGTCATAGGATTGCTAAGTGGCAGAATTAGGACTGAATCCCAGCCAGATCTAGGTCCGAAACCCCAAGTGCTTGGCCAGTTGGCACTGAGATGAGAAAAGCTGTCTGACAGAATAATAATGGACTTTACCCGAATGGCAATGAGAATCGCTAACTACATAAAGCAGCAGACTGTGAGGATCAAATTTACATTTTAAATCTCTCAGGCTGTAGTATAAAGGACATGTGCCTGATTAATAGTAGGTGCTCAGTAAACAAAGTAACCATTTGTCCAGGTTTGCCCAAGATGGGACCTGTTTATGCCCACTGTCCAGACGTAAATATTAATTGTACCCATTTTAACTCTTAAAAGCATCCAGATTTGAGCAAAAAATAACATGTCACCCTTTCAATTAGATCTGTTGACTGAAAGCAGACTGTCCCTAGCAGAGCTGGATAAACACCGCGGATTCTCAGTTAGGGATCTCCTCCAAGTCCTCTGCTACTCCCCAGTCAGGTGCCCAGGACAATCAAAGGGCCCTATCCCTGTAGCAGGCAGGGCTTTGTCAGGCCTTTCTACCAGGAGAGACCCCCGCCCCAGCAGTACTGTGGACTGCAACTGTCCCTTGGGACAGGTCCATTGGGAAGCCAGTCTCAGCCATTATTCCCCAATTGGTATTGGCTGATAATGATGATGATGATCTGATGATGATGATGATGATGTTAACGGCAACACAGAACCATTTTTAAAGCACTGATTATGTGCCAGGCACTACACATGTCAAGCAAATTGCTGGTCAGGTATCTTCTCTTTTAATCCTCACGCCAACTCTGTTGAGCGGATATTACTACTAGCCCCATTTTACAGATGGGAGAGCAGGTTAGGCCACTTTACCAACGTCATACAGCTAGCTGGTTTAAAGGGCTGGATTTGAATCCAGTTCTGCTCAACTCCTGCCAAGGTTCTTAACCACTGCACTCCATTGCCTGCGCTTTGCAGGCCACGATGTGACCCCATAAGCAAAGTCTGGACAGACCAACTACGCCCCCCATAGTGAAAGCAAACCCCCCTCAAACAAGAATGAATCATCATGTACCCTCAAGATCCCTGCCTCTCAACCAGACCCCAACAATGGCACGCTCCAAAAGGCTACCCATAACCAGTTCTTTCAGAGAACCCCTCACCTGTCCCCCGCCTCCTCTTCAAACTACGTCCCGAAATACTACGTGTGATGCAGGTCCGGACCCCCAATAACCTACATTCAGTGGGCGGGTCCCCAAAGAGACTCCCCTCAGAAAACCCGTATCACACACTGCCCGCGTCAGGATACCTCAAACAGCCTCAAGAGCAAACCCAAGTCCCAGAAGGAGCGAACCCCTATCAACGGAAACCCCGGGCCGGATCCCGCGAACCCCCAAAGTCCGGGCCGCACCTGCAGCCGCTGAGCGTCCCGGGGAGGGTGATGTCCTCTTCCAACACCGAGTCCATCACGGACACAGAGGAGATGGTAGCGTTGGTGTCCGGCGGCGCCGCCAATGGTTTCCCCGCGCGATCGCGACCCGCCTGGCTCCCCAGGGCCCCGCCCCCTCCACCCCAGCTCTTGTTCGGACTCTGGCGGCGCCGCTGGAATTCAAACCGCAGCCGCCGCCATCTTCAACGGCGCTTCTTCCTACGGAAGCGAGGCGGGGTGACCGAGGCGCGCGCGGTGAAGCCGACCGGCCGGGGACCGAGGCCGGGCAAGGAAGCGCGGGTGGGCGCCATCTTAACTAAGGGCAGAGCTTCCGCACTTGGGCCTGCAAGACTCAAGGAAAGAGAGCGATCGGCTGCCATTTTTAGTGCGGGCACTCAAGCCGAGGCCAGGACGGCGCCATCTTGGTTGAGGGCTGAAGCGGCCTTGGGCCGTTAATTTAAGCGGGAGGTGAGAATCCAGCACCTCGGGGACCCGCAGAGTTACTAACCAGGTGTGTGCTTTTCTAGAATAATGACCCTGATCCTTAGGGTCTGGGCATCCCAAAGGCGTCCGCCTTGAGTTGATACTCAAATAATCGGGTGCTGCTTCGCTTTAGAAAAATCCTACAGGCAGGATCCCAACTCAAGCAGTAATTTGCACATTTAGTTTGAACCAAATAAGCTCATTTCTCAGAGGTTGGTGGTAAGGGACACTCCTCCAGTCTCTCGCCTAGTGACCTTTTATTACCTGTAGGGCTCAAATGCACCTAAGATCAGTAAACTGAGCCTCAGAGGGAGGAAAGACCCGCCCAAGGTCATGCACAGTAAGTCTGTCAACTGGAGCCAGGTCCTCAGTTCCCTGCGTAACCCTGGCGGCCTTTCTTAAACACATAGAAATCGCCGGGCCGGATCCCGCGAACCTAGGTAATTTTGGCATAGGTTGGCCAGTGAAATCAGCCTCCCTCTCTTCATCTCAGAGTTACTACGTTCCTCTGCAGACTGTCAGGAGAGTCCTAAGTCCTGGATGAAAGTAACTGAAAAGATGGGTGAGTGGGTTGTTGGTGACTTTCCCTGTAATCACGTACTCGTCCTCCCTCAGCCTCAGTTTCCTCATTCTTTTCAAAAGAGGCCTTCTTTAATACTCTAGTCTACATCAAGCCCTGTGTTGTATTCTTAGCAATCTGTATTTTTCCTTTGTGGCACTTACCACATTTTGCAACTCCATACTTTCTTATGTGATTTTTTAAAATGTCTTCCTTTTGCACTAGACTGGAGGCTCCACAAAGTCAGACTGTGTTCTGAATTGTTCACAGCTGTATCCCCAACACCTAGTACGGTGGCTGCCACCCACCCAGCAGGTGTTTAAAAATGTATGTTGAGTGAATGATTCGACCAGTCTGGAAAATGGGGCTAATACCTACCCTGCAAGGTTTCTGTGACAATGTGGGGATGACCTAAGATACCTTTAGTAGCTCAGTCAATGGTAATCCCCTCTCACCTTCTCTCCTTCTCTCTCTCTCTCTCTCACACACACACACACACACACAAACTTTGAGTGAAGGCTACAAATCACATGGTCCTGCACCTATACCTCTTCCTCCCCCAGATCTTCAACCATTCCCAGAATCAGCAATAAAATAACAGCTAGAAAGAGAGAGGGCAGGAACCAGATGGCACAACAGAAAGGGACAGTTCTTGAATCCCTGGTACCAAGAGTCCTTGCCAGTGCTAAGTTCAACCAATGAGTGAGTGTGTCCAAAGGCAGGGAAGCTGGGGTGTCAGGACTCCCACCCTGGTTCTGCCACTGACTCTTGGTGGTCTTTGGAAGCCCGAGCCTCTTCTCTGGGCCTCAGTATCTTCATCTGTGAGTAACAGCATTGGTCTGGATGGATGTCTCAGGTTCTCACAGCTCTGGAGGAGATAGCTTTGTGTTGATTCAAAGCTACTAACATACCACCAACTCTATTCTGATGAGGGAAGGTAAGTTACAAATCATCACTTCCCAAACAAAGGAACTGAATTTCCACCCAGCAGATGAAAGCTCTTGAGAAAGGACACGAGGAAGAGGATGTGCACGTTGTGAGCATTTCTGATGTGACCCTTGTACCAGGTATGTCATAGGCACCACCACATCTAACCCTCAGGATAGGTGCTACTGTTATCCCTGTTTCACTTACAGATGAGAAGACTAAGGCTGAAAGAGCTAAAAATAGCTTACTCCAGGTCTCCCTGCTGTTAAGTGGTCGAGCTGGGATTTGAGCCCAGGTCCCTCTGAACCTCAAAATGCTAATTGTTTCAGGAAGCCTGTCTTCTCTGTTTGTTTTTCTCCACTTTAGAATTCAGGGTTAAGAGATGAGGTCTACATTCAGACAACAGTATTTTGGAGACATGTTCACCAGACTCTGTTTCTTGGGCAACTGCTTCAGGGTGACCATGAGATGCCTCTTAGTGTGGGCAATACGATTCCAGGGCTGGAAGACTGGGCGCCTGGATTCTGGCTCCGGAAAGTCCTGTGACCTGGGATCCTTTCCCCTTCCTCCTCCTTGGTTTTCCCATGTATCAGATGGGACTTAGAATACTGAGCTCCCACGGTTGCATCAGATATGCTGGAAACTGCAGAAGAAAGCCTTTGAGCAGTTCTCCTTATGATTAATCCATTGCCCATTCAGCAGAGGACCATATTACCGGTTCCTGTGCTGAACCTTTTAGTGAACCTGGAAACCAAAAATAGAATCAATTGGACAAAAGATAGGCTATTTGGGAAGTTGTTTTTCCTGTTTGCATGGTCAGGGACGAAGCCCTTTGCCCCATCTCTGTCTCACCATGGCCTTTCCTTCTGCCAAGCCTGGAGGTGACGTCACTACCACCAGCTGTTTGGGCTGTCTGGCGCCATCTCCTTGACGACAGCCACCCAGCCACAAAGCTGGCATTATTATATCCTTGGGCAAGGTCATATCGGATGGTTGGGAGGAAGTTGCTTGCAACCAGATGTTTCTCATTGGGGTAAAACCCTCCTGAAGTTCAAGACACATGAGCCGCCATTACTAACAGCAAGAATAACATTGTATAGCATCAGTACATACACACTGCTACTTTGCACTATTTCGTGTCATCCTTACAACACTGTACAGTGCTTTGGGATGACTGCCTTGCTCTAAAGGTTAGGAAACTAAGGCTCTGGAAGGAGAAGAGATTTGCCATAGGCCATACTTCTTCCTTCGTTTCTCTCTCTATCTCCCTGTCCTTCTTTGCGTTTCATTTGGAAATAACTTCAGACTTATAAAAAGTTGCAAAAATAGTGCAAAAATTTCCCAGTATAACCTTCATCCAGCTTCCTAAAATACAAACATCTTATATAACCATAGCACAACTGTCACAACAAATGACATCGAGACAATGTGATTTCCTACAGTGTGACTTCTTATTTACATTTGATCAGTTTTCCCATGAATGCCTTTCTTCTGGCCCAGGATCCATCCGGATTCCACACTGCATTTGGGTGTTACGTCTCCTCACTCTCCTCCAATCTGTGACAGTTCCTCTAACCATGTCTTTCATGCTGTTGACGCTTTATAAAAGTTCTTGCCAGTTAGTTGATACTTTTTCTCAGTTTGGTTTCGTGTGGTACTTCGTCATGATTCAACTGAGGTTGTGCACTTTTGGCAAAAACACCACGAAAGTGATGCTCTGCCTTTCTCGGGGTATCAGGAGGCAGGTGATGTTATTAATATGCCTCATTAATTGGTGCTGTTAACTCTGATCTCTTGGCTAAGTGCTACCTGCCAAGATTCTCCATAGTAAAATTATTGTTTTTTAATAATTAATAAGTACCTTGGGGGTGATATTTGAAACTATGTAAATAGCCTGCTTTTCGTCAAACTTTCACCCCCTGATTTTAGCTTCCTTTGATAACTGTTACCCAAAGCAATGATCATAGTGCTATTTGCCAATTGGTGATTTCCTGTTTTTATCGTTCCTTCTATCTTTATTAATTGGAATTCCACTGTAAGGAAGACCTTTCTCTTCTCTCCCATTTAGTCAGCTGTCTATTTAAATCAGTAGGACTCATGGATATTTGCTTGATTTTGTGGGTTAGAATCCATTACTATCATTATTTTTTTTGTGACTCAAATTGTACCAGATTTGGCCACACACCTTTGAATACATAGGTGTGTGCCAAGATTCAAACCCAGGTCTGTCTGGTCCCAAGGTCAGCAGCATTTCTGGCATGGCACCTGCCCCCTTGCTCGCGAGAACTCTTCCCAGCCAGCCCTTACCATCAGCAATCTTTGACCAACTCCCACCGTCTTCCCGTAGCATGCTAGGTCGCTAAGCGAGGGATGCCTTCTAGGACCAACATCTGGCTCCATGTGCACACAGCAGGTGCTCAATGCCAGTTTGTCAAATTAACCCCAAGTCCTGACTTTTTCTCACAATGGAAAGAGGAATGAGAAATACTCCATATCAAAGGGACAGCATGTAGATTATTGGGCTCAAGAGGGTAGCACTTATCAGCATGGTGTGACCTTGGACCTGCC